AGAAGATTTGTTGTGATTTTAAAGTGTTTTGATATACTCCTTCCGTTTCAAAATATAAGTTGTTTTAGTTAAAAATACGAATATTATGAAACTACTTTTATTTTAAAAAAGTATAATTTAATATATATATATAATACAAATAGTTTACCAAATAAAAAAAACTGCAGAATATTATTGGTCATACAGTAATACCATTGTAATTGTTGTCCAACTATTCTAAATTCAAGATATTTGAAATCCTTTAAAAAATTTTACTCTTAAACATTTAACATAATTTGTGTTAGTTCTGAGACATGGATAAAGATAAATGTTGTTGCTCCCTTTGCCAATAGGCCCCAATACCCAGCTACATTTAGATTGGGAGGAGAGATTTTATTTCCTTTTTCACAATTGATTAAACTTTGTTTTGATTACTTGTTCAACACGACTCCCGTATTCACATTGTTATATACAATTGTGAGCCTCTAAGATTCATTTAGAAGCACATAATGAAACGAAACTCCATCACACAAAAGGAGAAACTATATATCAAAAGCATAAAAGAATTAGGTTTTTTGGTCTTGAATGTAGTGTGTATGTAACAAGATTGAAGTTACAATGATACAGAAGACAAATTCCATAGAGATTACTATAACAGAGAAGCTATTAAAGCACATTGTCTACACATCAATCCCAGAGACTGTTGAAGCTAAATTTTGCTGCAATCTATGGGATAAAGGTCGGTGAAACACTCTTCTGCGTTTTGCTCCCCAAGATACAACCAAACAGTTTGGTTCTTTCCTCTTTGTCCCAAGATAACCTTGACACTTTTCAGAACCACAATTGCATTTTACCTCGGGACCAAACTGCACAAATCTGCAAAAACAAAAAATAAGCTTAATATATATCAGACTCTCAGATTGCTTTAAGCTCATCATCAATGGTTAAACCTGTAATCATATGTAAGTGGCTCTCCTGCTTCAATTTGACGAGCTGCAAAGACACCTACACGGATCTCACCTTCAACTTGCCTATTGAAACTCAACCACACATTAACCAGAATTTAGACTTACCTCTCTCAACAAAATTATCGACATATTTATATGATGTATTCTATGCTTTACCACTTCTCCAATACACAGTTTGGGTTGCAACTGTGATTCAGAAAGCGAGAAGCGTTCCCTTTGAAGGTGGCATCAATCGTGAAGTCTTTCTGAATCTCACACATGTAAAAGTCTTTCATGCCTTTGTGCTTCATATCCCAAAGCCTTTGCTCACACTGAGCATCACTAATCACTGTGGATAGAGTGAGAACAACAATCACTAAAAAAGCTGTCTCTTTTCCACTACAACCATAAGGCTCAAATACAAAATCAATTAAGCTTACCTTCACCGATGTATTCGACAATGAAGTCTTCTTTGTTGATAGATTCTCCTGCCTCTACTCCCCAACCGCAATGTTCAGTCTGTAAAACCAATATCATGTCAAGAAAAATAAGTGTTTCATGTAGAATCAAGGGGAAAAAAATACTAAACTTACCTTAACAATTTTGATCTTCTTGTCTTTTCGGAATGGTCTGTTGCTACAAGTTTCAGGGCATCCACATCCCTTTGAACAGCTCACACATTGAACCCTGTTTCAAAACAGAAACCGTTCAAGCGAAGTTTCAATTGTTTACGACAGAGAAGAGGTTGGTTGGTTAATCAATGAGAGTACCTGCAAACACAGCTTCTACAGCAAGTAGGGCCACAGTTTGTGCACCCAACACCATCATTAGCATCATCACGCTTCTTCTTCACAAAGTAAATATCTTAGCTCAGTCAAAGAAAGACACTTCTATGAAGTGAGAAATGAGAATCATATACTTATGGCACTAATATTGACTTGAAAGAAAGTTGTGTATGGAAACTATGAAGGATACTGCGCCTGATGTGGACATAAGGAGGCAGATCATCTTTCGGAACAGAATCTCTCCATGTCAAGTCAATCTTGAACTCTTCTTCAACATATGGCAAAGGCAATTGGCAAAAGACCTCCTGAAATTTTTGAAAGTAAAGGAAATTACTCATCTAACTCTTGAATTGTGTAAGAACAACAATACCTAGGATGTGCCAAAGGAACACTAACCTCCATCTCACTTTGTGCAACTGCATGCTGCTCAACCAATAGATAAAGTATCAGTCTTGTGAGTGAGTCGGTATGAAATTACAAATAGTAAAAAGGTTCAAATAGAAAATTGACCTTTTTGTCTAGTCGCCAATCAGTTGGATGCCTCCAACAAATTGCTCTTCCTGGTTGGTCTTTCAAGTGAAGTATTTCTTTTGACCATGGAGTATGCTTATCATGAGCAGCCATTGGACACTTTACACACCGCCATTGAGTTCTTATCTTGCAGACAAAGCATTCCTGCATACTCCGTTCGATCAGATGAAGTTAGAATGATACCGCGCAATCAAAATAATCCAATTCATTTCCCTACCTAATCACCATTTCTTAACTAACGGTTAAGTATCTTATTCTAAACAATGAATGAGGATCTTACATGTTGAGGGCATCTAAATTTTCCCGAACTGGATAAACCGATACTTTGTTTCGCACAGAGCGAGTGATAAACGCCTTGACAGCCACGAACAGAACACGTCAATTCTTCTCCCGGGTACACCAGCTTATGGCAAACAAGACAGTCAACCTGAACACCAAATTCCATATAGTCATTGTGTCAACATATTTGCAATGGTTTATATAAAATCCTAACTGGAGCAAAAAATGGTAAATTTCCTTAGTTTATTACAGTCATTAAATGATAAATATCACACATGAATAATTCAATATTCTTCTATTCTTTTGCCCTAAATTGATAACTCCAAACAAGATATATCCCAAAATCCATCGCAAAACTCACAATTTCACTATAAACAAAAATCAAATTGATAACTGAATAAACAGAAGCACACAAAATACCATTTTCTTAGATCCAACAAGAAAAGGAAGGAAACATCTCGACTCCGAAACTCCGGAATCAACTCTTCTCTTAACCCAATTCCTAACATGATCTTCCAGAATCAACCCTTTCTTGGCTCGCTCGGGAGGATCTAGTTTACCGGTAAAAGCAGTGATTCCATTAGCATTGCTAACCTCTCTGACCTCTTCTTCAGGAGGAGGAAGCACCGGTATAAGTTTCCGATTGCAGTCTCCCGCGGAATCGATCGATTTGGCTAATTCCGGCCCTGAAGCCGCCGGAAGAAAAGCAGGACAACACGTGAGAGCAACAGATGCCGACATAGACATGTCTCCCAGATCTAACATCTTAACACGTGAAGTGGACGAGGAAGAAGAAGAAGGCTTACTTTTTGTTTGGTAAGAGAAAAGCGAAACGAACGAAAATATGGAGGGAATTTAAGGCGGGAGATTTGTAGAGTCAAAAAGGATTGTGTCGTTGTCCTCGAAATTGGTACACAAGGTCTTGTACTTCCGAATATTTACAAAAGGTTTTTCTAATGATGTTATATTAAGAAATTAAAGAATTTAGTTGAAACTATTTGAAAAAATGAGATGAATTAATTTGAAATTATGATTAAAATATTTGATTACTGT